CTGTGATACACCACCCTTATTTTTGCACAATAATGCTGTGATAACTGTTCCTGCAAAAAATATAAGGTGAAGTGAAGTAAAATCAGGTCAAACATTAATATATACCCGAAAATAGCAGTGTTTGGAGTACCTATATTCACATTACCAATAATATAAAATCAGGTCAAACATTAATATATACCAGAAAATAGCAGTGTTTGCCGTTTGGAGTACCTATATTCACATTACCAATAATATGATACACAACAGGCCATAGAAAACCAGTGAATCAGAATGTTGAATTGTACCCCAATTTCAATATCAATATGGCACTTGGCAATAACAGTTAAACACACCGTTTTTGATGTTAAATCAACAGAGAAAACTCCTGAACATAAAAAATGATCAGAATGTATAATAAGGATAACAGTATAAATAAAAATCGACGACATCAGCACCTATCATCGCCGTTCCACATTCACCACTCCCCATTCCACGCACAGATTGTTTACTCCTTGGTTTACCCCGTGTTCGCAGTCTCCCTGACGACGGAGATTCTTTACGCCCACCGACCAATCACGTTCAAGATCAGCGGGGCTTGGCCGCAGTTCTCGAACGCTATTTGCCAGATTAAGCAGGACCTTCGTCGTCAGTAAACTGTGAACACGGCGTTACATATTTCGCTATGGTAACAAAAGCGCCAGAATTGACTACCAGAATTGGATCCGAAGGTCAAATGGGTCACGTGACTGACAAGTTCAGATGGACAACACCAGGAAAACGGAACAACGTGCAATAACGTTCTATATATCATTGGAAAGAGCATCAAAAGTTGTATAAAATATCAACTTTTGACTTAAACATATCTTAAACGTAAAAAGTTATTAAGCATCAAAGACGCTCCCATTGACTTTCAAAGTTAAAATTTTTCATTTTTAAACGAGCTTCAAAAGAGCAAACGAATTCTGACAGCTTAACGAAGCATAACACCATGTTCTATGGTCTTTTCTCAACAAGTCCTGAAAGTTTAAACAAAATCGTATCATATAATTTTGTACAATGAGCGAATGAAAAAGTCTCTGCAAAAACGCCCATTGACTTAACATGGGGAGCGAAAAAAATTCAACTTTGACCTCGTGCAAAGACACGTTACGAAGTTCTGAGGGGTATACGGCGCACACCAGCGTGTACCCAAACGTGTTTGCCATAAAATGCTGGGAAGAAAACCACCTCTTCCTTGGCTCGTTTTTCCGCTATTCCCGATCGCGCAAAAAGTGTCCAAAACCCCGTTGACTTAACATGGGGAAAATGGAATCGCACGTGCCACGTGCCACGAGGTTTTAAGCGAGTAGCGACCGGTGCCAACAGGTAGATCGCCTGCGGGAGCCCATACACTGAAATTTTTAAGAAAATCGAGCCACAAGTTTAGGCCTGACCCAAGTTGCCCCAATTCGCGGCCAGACATGCAAAACATAGCCCGGAGAAGGACCGCTCCGGTTGTTTTTCAATAGAAAAACACAATTCTAACGAATAGTGTTTGTCTTTTCAAACAACCTGCGGTTATTTCTCTGATACCGGTCCTATCGGCCCGTGTGGGTACCTGGACCTGACCCTGACCGAGCTACCGGAGGCCGGTCTCATTATTCGTCTCCCAGGCAGGGGTTCCTGCTTGGCGGTCAGACGCTGTATGCCTTTTCCTGAGAAGCTTCTTGTTAAATTAAACTGCTATAATAATTCACTTTGTGAGATCGTATGCGCAGTGCGCAGTGCTCAAACAACAGAAAAACATGCAAGCGAGATCAAAATACAGAGCGAGGGGAGATAAATTGCTACGTCGTTTGTCTTTACCATAAGCAGGTTTGCCGTCCGTCTGATATTATCGCGTTTTAAATTCAAACTCTGTTCACGTTGTAAGGTCAGATTGTATCGCAAACCAGTCTTGGTGGTGTTTGCTCTGCGAGAGGAAACTGTTGGACTGTTGGGGTGGTCCCAGCTAGCGACCGAGAGTAAAAAGTTCGAGCAAACGTTCGGGAAGGATCAGTGGTGGATAAATACGAGTACGATATAGCTGGGACGCATTCTGCACGATGCACTGGCGATGCTGGAGGCAGTTCACTTCGAGCGAGGAACGAGCTGAGAGGGCACTTGAAATGAGTCAACAATAAAAAAAAGATTATGGTCGCATAACTCGCATACCTTTTGACGCACAACTCGATTATATGTGACAGATAAAGAAAACGGTGATTGTGTTCAGTTGTGTCCTGCCAGGGTAAAATCCGCAGTAGATCGTTCACCGTGGGGCGCCTTGAATGACTCATCAGTTTCTCTGAAGCGAACTAGTTACTGTGAAAGTCCCATCGAGATAAACGTTTTGTAATGAGGCTCAGTAAGATGTCGTTGAGTCGTGTGGTGATTTCCGCTCCCCATGGCGAAGCGACTGGTAGAAGCGAGCGAGCGGCGGACAAACCCAGGATGTCCGTCTTTATGCCATGCGCCGAATGTTTTGTGGGCGTTCCTCATTTCCTGTTATTTTCACAAAATAGCGTGACACTTTGGTGAAATGCGTGCACCGAAGGAGTCTGGAAATCCAGTGATTTTCCATTCACGTTTTCCATTTTAGCTCAATGCCACTCTGAAAGCGGCCCAATGTCCATGAATACGTGGTTGGGGCTCTGCGCCGCTAAATTTCGGAGACGCGTCCCGAATAATTCGCTCATTACCCGGTCCGATAAGGCGTTAAAGCCGGCGCCTTGTGCGCTACAGAGCTGCGGGGCCTGGTAACCCGCCATTACGAAGGCTGGCGGCCGACAGGCCGGTCGATTTACAGTTGTGCCCCGAGTGCGGGTAATGGAATATAGCCAGGGGTCAGGTCATGCCAAGGCGAGTGCGCGCTGTCCATGATACCGGGTGAACGCGGCCGGCCTGTGACGACATAGGGCGGGGGTTAACTCGATCAACGGAATGGGCTCTTCATGCAGGTCTGCAGTGTGGGGCTGGGGCTGAATACAAATAGCCTGACATGGTTACAGCTGTTCACTGCCAAACCGTTTCCCCGAACAGCTGATCGGCACAGTAGGTCACAACCAGGAGCCACCTGACCTGAAAAGCACCGCTGCACTGCTGTGTGCACTGTGCACAGTACACCCACCGGTTTTCACCATTCGACCCGTGCAGCTGAACGGTACCGATGGCTTCCTAGGCCGCTATCGTGAGTCCACGGACCCGCTGCCAGCCTCTCTCGGCTGTGGCACCCATTCCGGTCACGGAACGGGCATTAGCCGACCTTGTGCCGTATATCAGCGGCCTGCCAGAGGAATGGTCCCGACTCCAGAGAGTGCCCTGTGACGGGCGGTGACGGTGGAGCGCCGCCACCTGCCCCTATCCGGGTCCGTGTGTTTCCGTGCACCCGTATTGTGCACTGTGCACGCACCGTGACGCCGTGCACCGTGCACGCAAACTGGTGCACGCCATGTAGAACCAATCATTGCCAGGCGTCCCTGGTAAAATTACCCTGGTAAAATTACTGAGCGCGTGCGCACCGGCCGCTCGCGCTTACTCAACGAATAATTGACTGGCCCGCGTCTTTCGGCGGGTGCCGGCCGGTCGAGCTGTGGCGTAACGCGCGCGCGGCCCGGGCGTTGAACAACACAATCCGGCCACTTTCATCAGCGCGCTCTGTGCCGACGCATAACGTATGTCGCGCACGAGCCCGGGCGCCGCCGGAGACGGGCCGACGGGCGGCGATTAACACACCTGACGCGCGTGGACGGGCCCTGGTGGACGACGCCCGGTGCCCCGGGGCGTCGAGGCAGATGCCTCGTTCACTATGGACTGACAATGACGGTGAAGGGGAGTGGGGAAGTGTCGGGCGGGCAGACTGGTGGTCGGACACTGGACAGGCCCTCAGACATATGTCACACTCTGACCGGTGATGTTACGCAGACGACCTGCTGCCGCCGTTTTTTTCCGCGATAGCCCGTCTCCTAGCTCAACCATCTCTTAGGTATTGCGACTATGCGAATCTCTGAGCTATCGCGGCACGGCAGATGATTTTAGCGACGTCGACGCCTGATAGCCGGAGACCACCTGCGTCCATTGCGCCAACGTGCCGCTGCGACGCCGTACGATAGGGAGCGACCGATAACAGTCGCACCGCGCCGACCGACCGCTGAGCCAATATCGCCGGTATACGGTGGTTTGATATCGGCGGATACGGTGCTCGCTACGCCGGAATTGATAGCTTTGAGTTTGAAGCAAATACTTGGTATGTAGAACCTCAGGGTTTACGTCGAGTGTAAATAAAATAAATATTTCTTTTCCTTCTGCTAGGTTATTCATTCACAACGGTAGCTACGTTTTCTTTCCTTCCGTTAGGTTTTTAATTCGGAATGATTGCGTGGCTGAACGTACCTAACCTCCTACCCACATCTGAGGCCCTCGGTCTATTTTACCAAACCCCTCGCCCTCTTACGATCAGCCGAGCCGGAATTATTTAGCAGTTGTGTTACCTCGGCCAAGGCCTGCCGGTGGGTATGGGTGCGCTGGGCCAATTATCAATAATAAACGTTGCATGGAAGTGGCCGCCCTGCAACGGGACGCGGCCGCTTCTCATGTTTAAGCGTCGAACACAGGCGGAAGTGCAATGCATGTTGCATGCCGGTGTTTTATAGCCTGGGATCTGAGAGTGACCTTAGGTCCCTTCCCTTCCGGCCGAGAGCATCTGTTCCAGCATCGAGGCTCAAAGAGGTTTCTCAACGCGGGAAAGAAATGAATGTGTGAGATGCATCGTGCAACATTTCTCAAGGTGCCTCATAAGCATGTTCACTGTGACGAAATTATTGCACTGTCGTGTTGGTAGTTATGTGATGCGAATGCCGCCGGCGCGCTGTTATTTTTCTGTTGCGTGTGCGGCCGCTGACGACTGTATGTTTTTCTGTTGCATGGCTGAGCAGTGAGCGATGATGACTGTTATTTTTCTGCTGTGTGTTTGATCACTGACGATTGTTTCCTCTCTCCCGCAGACCGGAGCCGTCAGGGGCCCGTCTGGCGGAGAGCCGGCCCTCTGAGTCGCCCCGCGCCTGGGTTCCGTTCGACAGGTAAGACCCCATCATCAGGGACGGGACACGCGAGCCAGGCGGAGCTGATCAGCGGTCCTGGGCTCGCGGAAGGAGGGGAGACACACACACACACACATCGGAGAGTGGGCTCGACGGCCTGCTCCGTACGGGTGATGGGATGGGGGGGGGGGGTGAGGGCGGACGACGGGCATGCGACGACGGATGAGTCATGGGGTATGAAATTGCATTGCAGCGCTGGATTATTAGGCTCTGCCGTAGGGTTTGATAATCTTATAAGATGATGATTCCTGGATAAGCGCAGATTTTCTTTCATACAGACATCTGAATTCAATATCACCCAGTCCTGTAATTTTGGATGGTTTCGGATAAATGTCCTCGATTAGACTTCATCAAATATCGTACCGGCTTCTCAGCATACAGCATATCAAACGAAACGACTACTTATCAAATGTCAGATGCATTATCCGAATTACCGCGGGCATCATCCTCACCATTCGGGCTTCTTTCCTGTCAAACCTACACACCAGCTTCGTTCAATAAGGAAGCCCCTGGCCGCTGCCCTGTTTCTGCAAATTAGCTGACTGTTGTGAATATGCCGTCCGCTATTTCTGGCTGACCTGGGCTGACCGCTGCTCAGTGTCAGCCTGCCCGACACGGCGGAGCCTGCCGCATGTGACGTATTGATCAAAGAGCCTCCACCCGGGCTGGCCAGCCACTGCACACTGCACAGACCTGCTGTATGGATATCAACGCGGGCCACGGCCAGTCGTAAACGGATGATTGCTGATTGGTTTCGATCTGGCCGTCGAGGTTACTGGATGCGTACCGCGCCGGGTCGCGGGGTGTCGGGTTAATGGAAGCTGGCACTCCGGGGTACGGGTCGTTGAGCTGTGTCGTTTCGACACTCCACTGACACGCGCCAGCCGTTTCACTTCGTGTAGATGGGCGTGTGCTGGTGTTTAATGGCGCTAATTTCTGGCGCTCGGTGTGGACTCTGGTGGCTGCACGCTGGTGGTTTTGCCCTGGACAACCACCTCAAAGGCTGCCTACTTAACTGACGAGTCTCATTTATTTAATTTTATTTTCAAAACAAAATCGATTGAAACCTATTTTGCTGCCCACCTGAGTTAATTAATTCACATGTTTGCCTGATCGTGGATCGTCGTAATTTAAATCAATGATATGAAAAGATGAGGTCAAGGCCTTTGTCCGTTCCGAGATCTGAATATCGTGTCTAGGGTAACTGGCTCGACCCAGTTTAGGAGCTATCTGTTCTCCCCAAACCCCTCATTTTTCCTCTTTCGTGGAGGCGCGGTAAGGTCACGAACACGTAACCCTGGGAACTTTTGTCACCACTACAACTGTGTCATGAGACCAATCGTTCAACGGTCAGTGTCTGCAGAATTCGGTGGCGTTTTTCCTGACCAAGTGACCATATCTCGACCACACACGGTGATTTGGCGCTCCAAATCGGCCCGGCCGAGTGACATGCTGGGGAACACGACTAAAATCTGACATTTGCGGTCAGTCACTTGATGTACGAGCTCGACTGGACCAGTATGATGTCATTCGTTCGGTGTTCGGTAGGTGAATGCGCTTTTTGGAATGTGTTGGCTTATTGTACACTGGACGACATGTCTTGCATAATCGTTGTCAATAAATTGGTTAAACCAAACGTATCTGTCATATCATTTTCCCAAATATCTGTTTACGGTTTTCGGTGACCTATATCTATCTTGACATTGTGTTCTTTGCATTCAACACTGCTCTTAATCTCCCAGCCTTCACATATCAGTCACTGCAGTACTGGTGCAAGCGTCATTACCGCGCGCCTCCCATGTCGACACCTCAGCTGACCCCTGAACCCCTGTGTGCCGCCAGGTCGGCCGAGGCGGCTCGGGACTGGCACCTGCCGCGCGTCTCCAGCCCCAGTCCCAGCCCCAGCGTGGGTTCCAGCTCCAGCGCCAGCTCCGGGCCCGGTCAGAGCTCCAGCTCCGCAGCCGAGGTCGGCTGTCCACACGAGGGGCTGCTGATCGACCTCAGCGAGTGAAGGAGTGTCGGAGGAGAGACAGACTTAGTGAGACACAATGTGAGACTTTGTGAGACACAGCGTGAGGCTACAGACTCTGAGACAGCTGACTCAGTGAGAACTGAACTCAGACAGTGTGAGCAATAGAGAATCGCAATGAGACTCGTCTCTGAGACCTCAGAGACACAGTGATTCCATGTGAGACAGTCTGAGGCAGGATCTGAGACACTGACCGAGTCTGAGGCACCTCCGATCGATGAGACTCCCACCAGACTCGCCGTCCAGTGTCCGTGCGTCCGCACCCAGATCACCACCACACAGTATGACCGCGGTCCCGATCAGGAGCCGGTCCTGACATCACCTCTACCCGCGATGGAAACGCCCGATCGGTAATCTGCCCACCACATCAACTGAGCTCAACTCACCGGTCGACTCGCCGGGCGGCTCGCGAGTCATGACTCACGACTCATACCGGAGAGGCGAGTCGACTCCGCTGTCTGCCGTCACGACAGGGTATTGTGGCGGCTGTATAGACCAACAGCGGCGTCCCCAGACGCCTAACAGGCAGTTCGATGCCGGCCCGGGCCGTGGCCTTGCCAACACCTGTGAGGCGTTATCGAAGTCTCCAAACGGTTCTCAAGACAATAAAACTATCCTCCACAGCTGGCGACCGACGGCGAGAGACGGGCAGTGAAAGGAAAATCTAAAAACTGCAGCCGTGGCGCAACGCGAGACCGGCGCTCATGCGAACATTCTGCAGCGCCCGTCAATTTCTGGACGCGTATTTCCCTCGAGGGGTGCGCGGTGTGGGAAAGACGTGGGAACTCTGTGACCGAGCTTCGCTGTAAAGACGAGGTAACTGGCAGTTTTCCTGTTCTGAGAGCGGCGTGTGCACGTGCAGTGCTCGCCGGCGTTCCTCTGTGATGTCGGGCCGTCCCCGGTGTGCTGCTATAGATTATGCGATAGGAGCCATGTACCCGCCCCTGTTCAATGTCGCAATGTCTGCTGGCGTCGTGAGCTTCTTTGAATGTCGGGGCGTCGTCATAGACTTGGAGAGACAAACCTACGATCTAGAACGAATTATGTCGCGTGTTGCATGCGATGTTGTGATGAAATCGCACTCTGCATCTATCATTTTCCATATTTGTTTCGTATTTATGATTTGACTATTTACCATCCCTTTTTCGTATATATTTTTCCTGAAGCGATGTATGAAGCTGGCCCCTAGGTATCCGCTGCAAGCTTGCAGTGGCTGCAGTCTGGCAATGCCGACTCCGCGACGCCGGAGCTGTCATGGTGACTAGTCATTACCTTTAAGCTCCTTTTGTGGGGATTGGGATGCAGCTTGCAGTCGCGACAACCCGCACCCGTGTCTCCCAGCCACAGTCGCGGGACAGTTTCGCGGAAAATCTGCACCTCTACCCATCTGCCATTCCTGCCACGCCGCCTGTGTATGGATGAGATGGTAATTCTGTCCTGAGTCAGCGGTACCGCGGCGTGTATTGTCACGTTCTGTGCCGATGTCTGAACTGTTCTGGAGCGTTCCTTACCCTATCCGACGATCGACTGACGTCTTGTGCCGCACCTACATCTATTCGCTCTTGATGATTTGGCGCGTCAGCGCTCTTTAAACTGACGTGACCTGCTCTGATGCATTATGTATCCAGGATTCGGTGAACGCAAACGATGTGATAATTTCGGCGAAGCATAACTTGACGCCGATGTCTGGCCGCTGTATGACGTTCGCTCTTACTGGAGTGAATTCTAACTGACTCCGGCTGCTATCTCGTAATTCGCAAGGTCCTGATGCACACAACGTCAGCTGCGCACGCGATGTTTTCAAATATGTGGAGGCCTCGCTGTTCGCTGTTGAACGCTTTCAGTTTCGACTTGTGATCTGAAAAAGACGTCGACTCTAGACAGGGTTAGGTCACACAGATAACTGCCCTGTATACGGCAAGCCTGTGAAACTGGCTAGTTTCTGGCCATGTAGGTGGACCAGAAACTTCAGTGGACACACAACAGTGGCTTATGATTCCAGTTCACATAAAGTGGACAGTGTCCTTTCTCAGTGGATGCGAGCGATGTCCGTGAGTCGGCTCTCCTGACGGCCAGGCCAGTGCATCACTACTTCCCATGTGTTTCGCAAACGTTCATTGTCGTGCACTTGCGCTCTTTCAAGTGCATGTGGCAGGGAAGTACTTCCTGTTGCGTCATGTAACGATGTGTTTGGACATATTTGTCGAGTGCTCTTGTGTGGCGATCTCTTGTTGCCTACGTCGAGTCAACTACTGATTCGGCGTAGGTCCATGAGTTGTCCCGGTGAGATGTCGCGTTATCTTCTATTACGTGACTGCCGTTCCGTCGCACACAACCCCGATGCTCCTCTGGTCTATCGCACGTCGATCGTTTCATTAGATGTCCGTTGATGTTCCGCGTGCATGTGTCATACACGCCGATAATGCTTAGTGTGCTTGAGCGGTGTGGGAAGAAATACACGGTGGTATATTTAGCAATTCATTTGTCTGGCAATAGGATGATGTGTCATTTTGTATTTTGTTATTCAAGGGCAGCAATGAGTATTGACTAGCATTGACATTTTGTCCCTGACATTTCGATAGGCAGTGGCGAAGGTACGGCGTAGTTATGAATAGGGCAAACACGCCAAGATGCTATTGAGGTATCGAGTGAGCAGTGAATGGTATGCATTAGAGTTGCAAAATTTCCCTACCGCGCTACCGGCATGCCGGTAATCTTTCACTACCGCAGGTTTTTTCGTGGTATCTGGCATGTCTTGCCGGTAGCATGCCGGTATTTTTGATTTTGCACACAAAAAAATTATCAGCATATGATTCAAAGTTTGGACACTAAGAGGCCATTGAATTGAAATAACAGCAATCTTAGCCACTGCAAAATACATTTTGTGATAGAAGTTCCATTGCTAATGGTAGGGGCAAACAGTGAAAACACATGAACCTCAGCATTTCACAGGTTTCGCTCTAAAATTGGATTTTTAAAGAATCTATTGTGGTCTATTAAAGGAAGAATACTCATTCATGTTGCAAAAGCACAACCAAAGTCTTATGGTAGGTAATAGGTATAAATACAATAAAATAAATAAATGTTCATGGCAACATTCCCTAGGCAAAAGGCAGAATCAAAACACCACAAAACACATTGTTTGGAAACTGGCCTTGAGTCCAGAGATGTGGTCTGAGATGCTCTACAAAGAATTTAACACTGAAAATCCGGCTGAAAAGGCAGGTGTTAGGTAGCCCTGAGCCTAACTTTGGTCCCAAAATGAAATGAAAATGAATTAAACTGGCATTTTGTCTTATCTTTACAAGAAAACACGGTATCGGTAACCCTGGCGTCACCGGTAGCGTTTTCGTTCAAGGTTAAGGTTTCCTGCATTAGGCAGTATTAGGCCACCGTGCCAAGCCGTAGCATGCTGTGACGTCACTGGGTAAGAGAACGTACCACGCTATCAGTATCAACTGAGACTCGGATAGACTCAGAACGACTCAGGCAGACTCAAACTGGCTCAGACCGACTCAACCGACTCAAATCGATTCCGATCGACTCAAACCGACTCAGAACAACTCAACTGACTCAAATAAATTCCGATCGATTCCGATCGACTCAGACAGACTCAGAACGACTCGGGCAGACTCAATCAAACTGACTCAGGCAGACTCAAACTGACTCGACCGACTCAAACTGACTCAGACTGACTCAACAGACTCAAATCGATTCCGATCGACTCAGACCGATTCAGAACGATTCAGGCGGACTCAAACCGACTCAAATCGATTCCGAGCAACTCAGGCAGACTCAGAATGACTCAGGCAGACTCAGAATGACTCAGGCAGATTCAGACAGACTCAGGCAGACTCAAACCGACTCAGGCAGACTCAAACTGACTCGACCGACTCAGAACGACTCAAACTGACTCAGACCGACTCAAACTGACTTAGACCGACTCAACCGACTCAAATTGATTCCGATCGACTCAGACCGACTCAGAACGACTCAGGCGGGCTCAAACCGACTCAAATCGATTCCGAGCGACTCAGGCAGACTCAGAATGACTCAGACAGACTCAGAACGACTCAGGCAGACTCAAACCGACTCAGGCAGACTTAAACTGACTCGACCGACTCAGAACGACTCAAACTGAGTCAGACCGACTCAAACTGACTCAGACCGACTCAACCGACTAAAATCGATTCCGAGCGACTCAGACAGACTCAGAACGACTCAGGCAGACTCGGGCCGATTCAGATAAACTCAGGCAGACTCAAACCAACTCAGGCAGACTCAAACTGATTCAGATCGATTCCGAGCGACTCAGAAAAACTCAGAACGACTCAGAACGACTCAGCCGGACTCAGGCAGATTCAAACCGACTCAACCGACTCAAATCGAGTCAGTTTGAGTCTGCCTGAGTCGGTTTGAGTTTGCCTGAGTCGTTCTGAGTCTGTCTGCGTCGATCGGAATCGATTTGAGACGGTTGAGTCGGTCTGAGTCAGTTTGAGTCGGTCTGAGTCGGTCTGAGTCTATCGGAATCGAGTTGAGTCGGTTGAGTCGGTCTGAGTCAGTTTGAGTCTGCCTGAGTCGTTCTGAGTCTGTCTGAGTCGATCGGAATCGATTTGAGTCGGTTGAGTCAGTTTGAGTCGTTCTGAGTCGGTCTGAGTCGATCGGAATCTATTTGAGTCGGTAGGGTCGGTCTGAGTCAGTTTGGGTCGTTCTGAGTCGGCCTGAGTCGATCGGAATCGATTTGAGTCGGTTGAGTCGGTCTGAGTCAGTTTGAGTCTGCCTGAGTCGTTCTGAGTCTATCTGAGTCTCAGTCGATACTGATAGCGTGGTACGTTCTCTTACCCAGTGACGTCACAGCATGCTACGGCTTGGCACGGTGGCCTAATACTGCCTAATACAGGAAACCTTAACCTTGAACGAAAACGCTACCGGTGACGCCAGGGTTACCGATACCGAAAACACAACATGCAGACGAAATGAATAAAACGTGGCGCAATATGATCTCCAAGGTTTGACTTTTAAGATCCTCTGTTCCCTAAAGAAAGGATGTAAGCTGATGACGTAATATTTATTCATATGCTCTCTTGGTTGAATTACTTAAGAGAAATGAATTTTCTTGTAGTGAATAACACTCACAGTGTTGATTTCAATTGGAATTTAATATTGTGTTGGATGATTTTTTTCAATAAAATCATTCACGAGGCAGTAGTTTGCAGTCCTAAAACCTTTTATGCAGTGTTTTAATCAGCTGGTTAAAAACTGTGTTATGGCGCATTTGTTTCGAAATCCTTTGTAACCTTGTGTTTGTTCCCGCGTTTGAGATGGGGGAGGATATTATATCGTTTTTATACATATTATTTGGTGACTTCTCAGAACAAGTGAGTTATTAACACATATTTTTACATGATTCGTATCTTACTCACGAGCCAGCAAGCCATGGCGGATAGGATGGCCTTGGCGGATAGGAAAAGCAGATGTTGATCTCGCTTCCTCAGTTAGGAACATGGCCGAATCTGTAGTTTTATAGATTGTGATTTGAGACTATCTATAGTTCATTATTTGGTTGGTACCTCCAACATTTTAGGAGAATTTGGAAAAACGCTTGTGGTAAATGTGATTGCTGCTCACTGTGCAGTCTTCAAAAACACATTTCAGTAATTCAAGTTCTTTTTGTCCTTGCTTTTTTGATACATGTTTTTTTGTAGGCAATACCTCTTGGATTACAGGTTATATTTAAACAGCTGTAGACTGGAATTGAGTTTCAAAATTGTGGTATTTGTGGGGCCAACTCAGCCAAAATCAGGCTGCTGGTAGTTTTGGTTGGACAATGGGTGGCTGCTGGGTGGGGCGGTTACTGAAATTGCCAAAATGTGGCATCTCATGTAGGGGTAAGCCAGAATCAAGAATGCAGGTTTTTTAGTATGCCGGTAATTTGGCGGTTTTTTTTGCTTGGGGCGTGGTAGCATGCCGGTATCCCAGAAAATTTTTGTGGGGCGGGGCGGTGCCGGTAGCAGCCCATTGGGAAAACTTTGCAACTCTAGTATGCATCACACTGTAAAGGACACGTATTGATCATTGATCAAGCAAACAAAAACGGCATGCTAGGTTGATAAGATGGTTTATATCATGTATGAAAGCACAGCTTACCGTCCAGTTACCACCTAATAACTAATTTCTTCTTGCCCCTAGTCAAATCATCAAAAGCCAGGCATAAAGTAATATGCCATACCACCAAACCTGGCTGGAGCCAGTCTCTAACCGCACAAACCACAAGTGTCTGGTACTGAGGAGTCACAGAAGGCCGCGGGGCCGTCACTGAGCGTCACAGCTGGTACCGTCACGCTGCGTAACGGTATAATGAAGTGACGCCGGCGCACCGTGACGTGACGTTACGCTGCCGTGACGGTGCTGAGCGCGCGACGTCCCCCGACCCGGAGACAGGGGTCGGCAGAGCGGATGACAACAGGAGGGGAGCGGAGGCCCGGTCATGGTAGTCAGAGTGGAACGATACGACTGAGGGCGCTTGTGGGCGATTAGGGATGAGCTAGGACGGTTTTAAACGGATTACGAATGTTCATACGTTTCTGGCTGTCATGAAAGGCTGGAAAGAAAAACTTGTTGAGCGATTTACGACAAGGAACATGAGTGAGCAATTGTCAACGAGACGTTCAATTTTCAAACCGGGACTTTGATGCATTAACATCGAGCCATTAGTGGTTTTACAAGCGAACAGCGAACATTAGGAAGGGAGCGGCTGACGTCGGCTGTCTGAACATTGAACACTGCGCACATTGCGGTGCTGCAATTTTACACATGATTCAAATTGTTACATACCTCCCTTCACCATTGATAAATAGGCATATCCATGCAATCAGCAGCAATACACGTGTGAAAATGTGAGCATGGTCCAGTGAAGTGGGATGAAGGTGGCCAGCTCCCAACAGCAGCGCTCTGTTGCCTCACAATTGTGAGGTCCATGGGGTGGAACGGCCCGGAACGATCGGACCCGGCCTTGAACCATACCTACGTGACGAGCGGCTGTGACTGTGAATTGAACTCGCGGGACAATTATACGGCACGAGCGCTTATTGGGGGCTCCACGACGGCTACTCGTCACCTGACTGGACGCAGATTTGTCGGCCCGCCCCGTCACGCGGGTCAAACACCTGGAGTGACACCATCCCCTCTGGCCACGTAACGCGTGTTGCAATGTCACGTGTCATCTGACAGACGTGTCATGACCGCTCGGACGGATGTAGGGTGCGGCGGACCCCGCCGGATGTGACAGCGGGACCTGGATCCCTCCTGTGGGGACCCGGACCCTCACCGCCGGTCCGTCACGCCCGTACCCAATTACGTCAGTCCTCCAGTCAGGTGATCCACATCACACGTCACACGTAACGCCGCCCGTCACGTCACAGCCGTCACGCAGGTGGAGCACGTCACGCTGAGGCAAGAAGAGACGTTTCGCAAATGTGGCTCGGATTTGCCGGCACAAAACCGCGGAGGCAATATATTGAAGCATTGCTAACGTTTAAACGGCATTAAAAGCAAGTGTGAGAGGCGCGAGTAACATTTAAGAGAAGGGCGAGAGAGGGAGAAAGAAAAGGGATAGAGGTGCACGTATCTATGGAAGTAATACACCTTCTAAGATGAAATAACATTGAGTTCCGTGAGTCATGAGTTTAGATGGTGAAGAGACGTTATCCTCCCTCGTCCGACCCAAAAGCCATGATAAAACAGGCGCACCTGACCTGACGGCTGGGTGCACTAACGGCTGTAGGGGAGAAGGTGCGGGGCGGGCCCTGGGCCCCTGATTAACCAAATGACCTGACGGCTGGCTTCACTAACGGCTGTAGGGGAGAAGGTGTGCGGCGGCCCTGTTACCTGTTGAACGCTGTCGCTCAGTGCTCCATTACTGACAGAGTGCCTGGCAAGTGCCATGTAAGGACATTCACCCACATACACCGACGTGCCTGCCATCTAGCGGTCCGACACTGGCGTCACCAGGTCCGTGAAGGCGAAACTGTCAGAACGGACAGTTCTGAGGGCGGCCAAAGACGTTACCAGCAAATTATTGCGGGATAAGTTTTTTATGGCTCTGTGCTTTACGTTTTACAGCGCAACTGCATTTTTCAATCATTTTGTATAAAAAAATAAAAAATAGGTACCGGACACAATAATGAAACGGAACAGACGCTTTTATGAAACAAAACCGTTTCACAATTCACTGAGTGACCCTGCGGATTGCTTTTTGATGTGCTTGTTTGGACAGCCACAATCGGAATAAATTCACTTACTTCTAGGAATTGTTGGACGAGCTCAGTCTTCTCAGCCGGTTTCTCAGCAGGAGATGCATGTTTGTGACAGAAATTATCCCACAAGGAACTCAATAGCCCTCGTTCCGACAATGGACTTCATTTACCGCTCTCTAAAGCCCCGAGCTAATCTCGGTCCGGACTCAGCAAACTTGCGCTGGATTCCAAACTTACTGAGCTCGAAGTGCTGATCGTGGTCGTGGGCGTGCATTTCAATGATTCAGGACTACCCGATCTGGCATGGTAGGTACTGATTCTGATGTTTCCGTTTTCACTTAGCACAGCCGTTGCTCTGGTGCGTATAGAGAAGTTAGCACTGTGTAAGCAGTAAGTACCTAAAAAGCACTAAGTACCTAGAAACGGTCCATTTTGAATGAATCATGCATTGCTAGCCAATAAATATTCACAGTTTTCTTTCATGAGCGCCATGGCCCCAGCCTCAGTGGAAAATTAGCTGGGAAACGATTAATTTCGTTTCATTTTCCTGCTTGTGCCCAGTGCCTCTTCCTGGTGAGTGCTAGCACGGATTACGTCGATCACGTATCTGACTATGTCGTCTCGTGTCTGTGAAGTGTGAACCTTGACTTGACAGCGGAGGACGCGCCTATAGCTCCACGGAGTGTGAAGGGTAGACTGTCCCGCAACGCACTCGAGTGGTGCGGGACTGTCTATACATTGAGGCTGAAGTAGTAAAATCGCGGGTGCTCGGTTCGATGAGAGCGAGACGCGGCTTTGGAACCATTATAATCGAGCAAAACGACACACATCAGTCTTTGATGTTAAATCATATCATGATCTTGAGACAGAATGCCTTGGCTGGAGATCAGGAAAAAATATACCCATAACAAACAAATGAAGCGAAACAACGTTTAATATTTATTTCCCTTCATTATAAAAATAGTACAAATGTCGAACAGTCATAAGCTTGCCGGACAATCAGCCATATGCAGGAAACGGCTGAAAGACGTGATCAGGGCCTAAAACGCATACGTATAGTATTTACAATTAATTATACATAACCTGATTTTCACCAAAGTCTTTAATATTTCTGAGACAACACACCGATTTAAGAACAAACTGTCGTGTTCTGTCACTACATCACGCTACATTTGAGGACTTTGTACAAGGGTGTGTTCTGCTTCTTCTGGAATAATCTTTCATATAAAATATATTCATAACTGCGTCCCACAGAGAACCTCATAATTGTCGTTCATTTCTACTGAAATCTTTTGTATTGTCTACTCCCCTTTCAAAAAAAAAGTTTTCATTTTTCAATCGTAAATAAGAACATCTGTCATATATGCAAAAAATTCGGGCAGATTTAGCCTGATTGCTCGAAATCAATCGGTCACTCAGCTAGCAAGGAGCTGGAAACAGACGGCTTTAGAACTAAAACTGACCGGATTTACTGAGGAATGGAACTTTAAGCGCCCAGATTACACATCAAACAAGACTGGTGAGTTGGACCCTTCAGAGGCAAGTTCTGGTGCACTGAAACTTTCCGATAGGTTCGACGCGACGTTTCAGGCGGCTGGTGTTAAATTATGCAGAATGGTAAAATGCGTTCTGGGATAAGTTTCAGCTTAGCTTCGTCTCAGAGAATGACAATTTAAAAGGCCGCAATCCTTGTCATGTTGTAAATTACCAGTTTCTGAATATATGAATGTGCAAGCAAACAGTCTTAAAATGAGCTAAATTGGTGAAAGGGACCCTTAAAAGAATTGCGGCCGATGCTAAAAATGAATTGTTGCAATATGCGAATAGTGTGTAACTGTGTACATAATACATATTGCCTATTGTGCACTTGCAATGTGTTATTTTACACGTGTGCATGATATGGGCATTGGGTACTGGGCACAGCTGTGCAGTGTGCATGTGCTTGGATTATTCGGCATCGGCTGGTCGTAAAAAATGATATAACGCAGCGAAATAAGCTACATATTTTTTACAAACTCTTAAGCTATTTGACACCAATCGAGTAACAATAATGAAACAGTTACGACCACCGATCAACAGCCATAGTTTCGGAACAATCAAACGTTTTCCAAGACTACCTTGGCAAACGACACATGAGTTATGGCACAAGTGCACACACAGTCACACTCACGCATAGGCACACAGACATACCTACATTCTCCCGCGGTCTCCTCTAGCCCTCCTCTTTCTCCCACTCTAACCATCTTTCTCGCCAGAAAAGATGGCATCATTGAACTGAGCCTCAGCATGTCTGATGTACCCCTTTCATTCTCAATTCCAGTACAATCTGAACAATAATCAGTCGACAGATCAGTCGACAGATAATTGTTTCAACAATCAGTCGAAACAATCAGTCGACACAACTCCGCCACCCCTGTCGGTCACAGCCGGTCTTCGTTCCCCTAGAGACCGTTCCCTCCCCGTTCCCTCTCGATTCCCTCCCATTCCCTCCCCGTTCCCTCCTCTCTCCCTCCCTGTTCCCCCGTCAGACACGCTGGCTCGCCGGGCGGCTGTCACAACTCCCCCTGTTCCCCCGGTTCCCCCTCTGGCTGCGGCAGCTGCAGCTGCTGCTGTCGGCTGAGAGCCTCGGACAGCTCCCAGCTGCAGCGGGCGGCGCTGGTGTACAGCAACTGACGAGGGTCGATCCGGTCCTCCCGGGGAGTGGCCTGACGACTGCTCAGCTCACGGCTCACCTGATAGGAAAGAGATTACGATAGCAATGACTTCGGTTTATGACAGAAGCAGATGTGCGTATGGTAAAGATGGCAATTGGTATTCGGTGGCACTTGCAATAGCGTGCGGTTAGACGGTATAGATTTGATGTATTTCTGCAGCCACATCACCTGAGTGTGAGACGTGAGTGAATTTAAACGTCAGCGATGTTAGCGCATATTCTGGCATTACTCTATCGGTAACAAAAAAAAAACGGCTCCTCCGTTATGCTACAGTGGAAGACCTCAGAAGTTGGATATGACATATGACTCCCATAGTGGGACCGTATAGAATTTCCTTGATGTGTTGGAATACATCAGTGACAACTTTGTTTACGCGCACGAACACGTTACGGGAACAGCAGAACATATTCTTCCCTTACCTCCTCGACGCTCCTGAATACCCTCAGGAAATTCTGCCCGGCGAGTTTCTTGAGGTCTTCCTCCGTCCAGGTCGAGTCGGACAGCAGCTCAGCAAACAGATACGGGTACTTGGACACATCCTCCAGGCCCTCAGGTGTCCTGCGGGGCAGAGAGGGGTGTAGGTTAATCATAACGGGGCGCGGTTGAATTTAACGTATCGACGTTACGATAAATGCCGAGCATGAATGAAGGACTTCAATATTATAACATTTGCTGTAAGATACCAAACGGACAAGATGTTTCCAACAAATATCCGATTTGCAAATTTAAATTTGTCTGCGAATTTCCCCATGATTCATGCTCAAATTATAGGTACCCTATAGCTTGAACACCCAGCCTGCACAAAGTCCAGTCTCCTGTATTATCCGTTCACCCATCGCCGCACTACTGACCAGTTGATGCCGTCATAGCCGGCACCGAGGCCGACATGGTCGATACCCGCCACCTCCCTGATGTAGTTCAGGTGTTCTGAAACGCCGACAGACGTTATGGCGAGTGGTTAGTGCGGATACACACGCTATACCTCTCAACAGAGTATCGGCGGAGTGTCGATGGGAGAAGTGAAACAAAATTGTGGCGTCAAAAAGATGGGGTATATTCGATATCATCCATGATGTTGCTTCATGCTTGAGCGTCATAAAGCTAGGTTTACATGCACATCACATGTTGGGGTTGCAAAATGAGACACGGTTGTTAACAGTATATTCTTGGTTGAACCTGATGTAATGCGCGCAGTTAGATATAATAAAACATAAATAAGCGCCCATTTCGACAAGACTGGAATTGTGAGCAAACTGATTTGAAAGAGCTCAAAGCTCAAAACTCTTCGGTCCTATCACTCCAACAAGTCGCCGGCCAAAAGATCACGGTCGCGGTCGCTGACGGCTCACCTATGACATTGACCAGGGTCGCGTTTGGTCCGCAGCCGATAAACTCCGAGTAGAAGTTCACCATCACCAGACCGCCGCGGCTGGCCTGAAAAATAGCGCCATCCATCACAGCCGTCCGCGCGGAGGTCCGCGCGGAACTTGGATGCTCTGCGGCTCACGGCCTGCACCCCGGCTATGATCGCGCCGCGCTGGTCAGTGGGGTCTGATCGATGTGCCATGAGCCGCCTGAGAACCGACCGCCGGCAGCAAAACGACGTTAATGGCCCGATTGGCGCCGGATAGATAGGACGTCTCAGCAGCTCGGCGCCGCCGGGAGACCCTGGAAACTCGTTGCAAAAGCAGCTGATAACACGCTGGGAGGAATATTTGTTTGTTTTGTAGCTTGTCTCATAAGAAATGAGTGATGTATGTGATATTACATCCATCGCTCACAATCAGGCTACAAAACAGGGTGCTCGGTAATGTTTCTGACACGGCGACTTCACTGACAATACAACCTTGCTGAAGAGGCGAAAAACCATGCCCATATTTCATGTCTAGCCCATTTGCCAGCACTCCCTGACCCCAAGCGTCCCTCCCTTCCCTCGAAGCTCTCCCCCTCCCTCCATCGTCGCCGTCCTCACCACCAGACGGAGTACATCGTCGGGCACGTTGCGAGTGGTATTGCAGAGCGCCCTCGCAGACGAGTGTGAAAAGATGACGGGCGCGCGAGACACCTCCAGCGCGTCCAGGGTCGTCTGGCGACTGGTGTGACTCAGGTCGACAATCATCCCCAGACGATTCATCTCCAGAACCACCGCCTGCGAGCGGATTCAGAGGCGGGAGGGCTCATGAAGGTGGATCAATGTCACTTTTACGTCATCGGTTTTAGTAAATAATTCAGACTAAATATGTGATAGATATATGATGCAGCATATCGTTTGTAAAAACATTTATTTCTGACAATTTCAAACGTTTTTCTTGCTTATTTAGTGACGACTTGAACTATCGACTTACCCTTCCAAAATCATTCAGGCCTTTTCCCGCATTTTGCTCCTCCGTTTCTGTGGAGGCTGATGTAGCCCTGTTGGAAACGGTCATGCATGGTTAATGACTATTCCATCGCATCTTGAGAAAAGTAACGAAGAGTCATCTCTAAAACGTATTTGCACGAGTGCGATATACGATATCATCCACATATCGCATAGATTACCAATTATCATGCTTGAGCTTTTTGCCTCCCCTCTGAGCATACCTGAGCGCGCCCTTGCGACCCGACCCAGCGACCGGGGACGGTCACCCGGAAACGTAAACTCTTTGGCTAGTTGCCAAGACGTGAGTCGCGTGGAAGGGTCTGTCACCTGTCCGTGCTTCTATCCTCAGGATACTGAAATCCTTTCTCCACCACGCCACAACCCCCTTCCGGGCTGGGCAGGCAACTTTATCTCATGCGGGCTGCTCCCTTGGAGCGGCACCACTGCTTCCGAGGGAGCGCACCCCGTAGCCGGGTGCAGTGAGTGCCTTGGGGCTGGGTGGTCTGTCCTCTGGACGGGCTCAGCCCCGGCGACTCACTAGGGTGCCTGCCCAGACCAATGTCTCCCCCTAATTCCTATCATCCTTCCGGCTCTGCAATGGTCTTGTCGACCGAAAGGGCCTAACCCAACAAAACAAACAAACAAACAAACAAACAGGGTCTGTCTCTGTACGTGTTTGTTCTGAAATGTGTCAGTGAAAAAGGTGATTTGCGATTTCAAAGTGCAAGTGATTCCGTAAAAAGAATCAGCTCTGCCCGTTAACATCGCCGCAGGGCGTGGATGAACTTCAAATATTCAAGAGCGAGATATCCGTACCAGCATTTTGGTAAGTGAAACGACACTTTAGCAAACACATATACCTAACAATAAATGCAAGCGAAGCATTATAGTGACCAGTGAACATTCGAAATGAATTACGTATGTGTCCATAATGCACCACAAAAAACGAAAACATTTTAAATATTTATATCAATAACTTGTCTAATTGTCTAAACAACAATTTCTGCAAAGTTCTGCTCTTCAGTCTCCTCACCGTTAAGGAAAGATTTTATTGACAAAATATCACTGCCTGCCAGTGACAAACTATAAGAATTTATAACACACAATATATGATGCCAGAGCTCGATTCATAACACTTAATCGGTTAGCCTGGAAGCAAGCTCGTTTCGCACTGCGATTGAGCAATGCATCATGCAGGCTATCTGGGAGCAATAACCGTTGATCGAATTTCACACTGGGTTGGCCGTCAAATGGCACACTAAATATCCTCACAGAGCCAATAAATTTAACGGACATCACATCACACAAACCCCGTCGGGAGAAGGGGGCGGACGCCTTCATCTCAGTGAGTCCAGACACTGGAAATAACAACGGCCTCTTAGGAGCCCGACCACCGTCTCTTCGTGTGCTGTTGGTCGCTACGGCCGCCGCGCCGCAGCTCTAAAGCCACACGGCCGGCATTGTTGAAACTTGAAACGATGACGGTAAAAACGGAAAATTCCCAGCCTCTCCTTCCGGCGGCCAGCCGGGCCTTTCAGCGCGGCCCCGGCGGACCGCCATCGGAGCCGGCCAATCAGGGCACGGCGAAATGGGAGACGGGAGGGACGGGAGGGCGGAACGGGACGGGAGGGCGGGCGGGATAGACGGGCCAGACGGGCCAGCGGAGGGATAGACGGACAGGCGGGAGGGCGGACGGGATAGACGGGCGGGCGGGATAGACGGGCCAGACGGGCCAGCGCGGCGAGCGGAGGGATGGACGAACAGACGGGCGGCGGGAAAGACAGGTGGACGGTGGGCCGGGTGGACGGACCAGACTGGAGGTTGGGACCAAATGAGAAGGGTGAGTGGGGATAAATATTAACAGGCTGCAGGTCATATCTTTCCATTTCACAAGGCATCTATTTTCATTCAATTTATATGGATGTAGGATAGACTAACTTCCGAAAATTAATATCATAACTTGTCATGACTCCGTGGCCAGTTACTGCCTGATGTCCGTCTGATGCTTGCATTTGATACGGCATACCCATCATCCATATTTCCTCCGGCCAATGACAGCTGTAGATTGAACTTGTCATAGGGACGAGCATGGTCGAGTTATTTATTGTGCATTCAGCCAGTAATGTAAGAACTCCACTTTTCACTGCAAACGCTAGTCCTACTCAGTACCTAACTAGGGCGTGTCACACAAGAGTGAGTTCTGCTCACCAAAGTGTCATATATGACATAGCTGCGTTCCACTCACCAGGGTGTGTCGCAGGTGTGTGTCAGTGTCAGATACCGCACCCCGGACTGGTAGAAAGTCCGCAGTGTCACAAAGTCTACTCACCAGGGTGTGTCACAGGTGTGTGTCAGCGTCAGATACCGCACCCCGGACTGGTAGAAGGTCCGCAGCACCGCCAGCCGGGCACCCAGAGAGTGACCTCCCTCCACTCCCAGTAGACTGGCGATCCGACCGCGACTGTGTGATTCCTCGATCTCTGGAAAATCGACACAATAATGTGACGATGTGAATGAGGTTATCCCGTCTCGTTTATTTTGTTAATGCTGACCGCTAAGGCTACGTGAAGCTGTGGGTTGGGTTAGGTTCCATGAGGAAGACACTCGAAACATTCCTTTGACGGATGTGGCAAACATTAGCGAAGGTCGCCAGGCCAGCAGTTTTGGAAAACTTCTCTCTGGAGCGTGGGCAGTGGGCACCAAAGCCATCAGAGAGATCGCCCTGTGAAAATTCTTATCCTCCCGGGCGCTCAAGTCTCGGCATATGCTACTAAACGTTAACCATTCTCGACCCACGTGTTATCGAAACTGACCAAGTGACCAAGTGACCGGAAGAGTCTCCAGTGAACAATGGGGAAATAAAGAACGGTATGGGAGCGGCGCCATTGATAAAACGTCTTTAAGACGATACTCGCAATCATATCATTAGACTGAGCTATTGACCGACAGGCTGCTTTTCTCATCAGCTCTGAAACTCCTCTTGCAATGAACAGCCAGCTAAAAGGTCGACCTTTAGCACCAATTAACGTTTAACGAAAACGAGAAAGCAGACTCGGCTGCGCGAGCTCGGAAGCGGCCGCCGGGGTCCATAAAACCCGGCTCGGCCCTCCGGCCGGGTGTTTGTGGTCGGCAGAGAGCGGGCTGGCCTCTCGTCCGCAGCCAAATGGCCGGGTTAGGCCGGCCGGAGAGGGCCGAGGCTATCTGCCGAGGGCGGCTCTCTGGACGGCTCTCCCGGCGACTCTCTGGACGGCTCTCCCGGCGACTCTCGGCGGGCGCCGATCGCAGGTCGTTTTCGGCGGCCGACTGCGCGTCCGTTCGGCACAGAGCGGCCGACTGAGGGCCCGTTCGGCACAGAGTGGCCGCCGAACGCGCCCCCAGAGAGCCCGGCTCGGCTCGGCTTGGCGCAGCTCGGCACGGAAGTGGAATGCAATCGGACGTGCCGACACAAATGGTGGAACTATAGCACCTGGTGGCTGCCCGGGCTGCGGTCCAATGGCCCGGCCAGGCTCAGGTGAAGGTGAAGGTTAGGGTGCTTCGAGTCCGCGGCTATTTGGGCTGAGGGAACCGGGCGTACTTGAAGTGATTGCAGAAGGATAAGTGTATAAAATGTAGTAATACAATGGTAGAGGGAAGGTAGGTTAGGTTTTGATCCTCATCTGGAAACATTCAAGCATCAGGTGAAATTTGAACGTATTTAACTTTTTCAGTCCAAAAGATTGTACAGGAAGAAAATTCACGCAAAAAGTGTGGATTCTTTATACACAGCGTACATGCATTAAGTAAAAAGAACGAAGTTCTCCGAGCAACAGTTCCAAGCAGTAATATTGAGTTCTAAGGACTACCTACACGCGTTCGCAACAACAACTCAATGACGATGACGGCTCAGATACAAGACGGCGTCACTCACCCTGTACGCTGGTGGCTAGGCTGAGATACTGCGGATACTTTTCCACCAGTCGTCTCACCACGTCTATCTGTTCGACGCTCATCGGTACAGCGTCCATCCACTGACTCTCGCAGGGCACGTACGCCGCCCAGAACTGTCACACAAACACAGGATAGTCAGCAGGAGACAGACTATCACACACAACACAGTCGGGCAGTGCGACACTGAGAAAACTGTGTCCCGATTTTCGGGCTCAGAGACCAGTTTTCGGGCTAATGTACCATATTCAAAACAGACAGCACATTTCGAGAATACTTTCTGAGCTAGCGCCACATGGGCTCATACGATCCCTTAAATCGGTATCATTGATCGCAGAAACAGAGCTCAGTCAGTACCCATTATCGGTGTCAAGCTCTAAAACTAGTCTCACTATGATACCAGTTTTCAGCCTGATCCCCATTTTCGAGCTCACCTGATTCCAGTTTGAGGGCTCAAATTGTGTGGTGAAGCCAATATTAGGGCTCACGTCATCGCTTTTCGGGGCTTTGGTAAAAGCTGGATTGCGTCAGCTGGCTGGCCAGCTGGCGACGCACGAAAGGTATTTAATTTTAGATATACCTAAGCGCGGTAGTAGGATGGACATAAATATTTCAAATGGCTTTAAATGAAAAATTGATTGGTAAATATTCATTCTTTTATATCTAGCATTGATATGTAAGAAGCTCTGCTAGCGCCACCATACGGCGCCAGCTGGCAAAAAATCCAGTTAATACCAGAGCCCGCTTTTCGTCCGATGCAGCCCCTCCTCCCCCCTCCCCCGTGTCCAGCAGCAGCGAATAAGACGAAGCCGCGGACAAACTTTTTTTTTTTGCTCGGCCAGCCTAGCGCCAGTCTCGAGCGGTGGGACAGTTAACCGGCAATTTTGGCCGGGATGCAAAAGTTACGTTAAACCGGTTTATGTTAACCCGGGAGCAAATAACAACGTGGGAGCCTATCTTAGGTGTGGCAAAGCTAACGGATTACTTACTTGTTGCCGAGGTGCCCAAAGAAGGTACTGGAACCGAAAACACAACATTGGTTCATGTATTTATTAACATTCATACACACAGTCATACTTGTGCAAGGTGTCAGTGTTCGGTTGTGGGGTGTAATAGCCAGGGAAAAAGTTCTATGAACTGAAAAACCCGGCGCCTATTACTTCGCAACATGGTTGTGTATTCAACATGAACTGCAAGGTCATGCAGACGACATTGCCTGTGCTAACTTAACGTCTCACGGGCAGCGCCGCGCTCTGACACCTTGGTCCCAGAAGCGGCGGCGTTTCTGACCGCAAATCGCCGGAGAGCCGGTCGACGCCGTTGAGGGGACTGAGCAGGCCGCTGCCAGCTCCACCTTCACGTCCGCGCGGCGCAGCTCGGTGTGCGGCGGCGGCTCATCGCGCGGGCCGCACCCGTCCGTCCGCTGCACGAGCCGCTTTTCGATCCGACAGCGCAACACCGGCACGCCATTGTGCTGGCTGAGCGGCGGCAGCGGCACGTAGGCAACAAAACAGTAGAAATCGATGGGCCTGGATCGGCGTTGCCAGCAACGCCGGCAGCGGCGCGGCGGGAGGCGCCAGTGCCGCCGTCGGGGACGTGTGCCCTTCGCTGCGCTCATTCGAGTTGGCCGGCCGGCCGCGCGGCGTAGTCCTTTTGACACGGTGCGAGAAGAGCCGGATGAAGGTGGACTTTTTATTGGCGTTGCTGGTGCTCACGCCGCCGGCGTCCAGTTTGGGCGGCAAGTCCGAGTACCAGGAGTCGGACAAGTCCCGCGCGAACGCCGCCAGCCGGTCGTCGTCACTGCTGGCGGCGGCCCGCCGACGGCGCTGCCTCAGAATCGGACGAGTCGGTGGTACTGAGCACCTCGCGGGACGGGTAGCTGGGAGTGGGCCGGCCGCGGCCCCTGCCAGGCCGCGCCACCTTCACCGGCGCAGCCGCCTTCAAACTGCCCTTGCTGGGCGGCGGGTTGGTCGGCGGAGGCGGCAGCGGTGCCTCGACGTCAGTCCGAGTCGCTGTCACTGGGCGGCCGCCGCGGAGACGGCTTCTGTTTGACCCGCAGCCGGCCTGGGCCGGCTCGGCGCCCTCGGCCGGCGGCGCGCGCCGTTTCGAGCGTTTCACCTTTTCACTGTTACTCTCGCCTGGTCCTCAGCGTCGAGCGGCTCGGCGCTGTTCGGTTTCATGTGGCCCATGCTGCTGGGAAACTCGGGTGGGGACAGCTTTCTGACTGGAGTGCCGTCGAAGATGGAGGAGACGGGGGTGCTCGCAGAGTCCTTGCCCAATGCCCATGATAGAGCCGAGGCTCCACTGGACGGCCAGCTTAATCGGGCTATCGCCGCCCTCCTTCTATGGTGGATTCTTCGGCCCCCTACAGCCACTAGGGCCATCATATACTCCCAGATGGCGGCACCTAGGGGATGAGGGGGGGGGGGTGTCTGGGCCACTTGTCCACCTCGTGGCGTCGCCAGCGACGCCTGCGAGTCGGAGCAAATGATTATGCGGTCTTCCTCGAAGGACGGGTGCTTCAGGAGATGTTGCTTTGCCGTTTTGGGCGCCACCATCTCAGATCGGTAAATGGAGCAAATCCTCCCCGCCGCCTCCCGCAGTACCAATGTTGTACTGTCTGGGTGCTCGGTGAGGACCCCAGCGCCGCCTTCCTATTACTCCCCCGGTCGCAGACCCGTCGACCCAGGCCCACGTCGCACGCTGGGGGAGCGCTCCCAGTCACGCCTCCGCAGCACTCCTCCTCGCTGTCGCGGACGCCCCGATCGGCAGCAGGTCCAGGTGGACCGTGACGCCGTCTGTTGGCGTCTACGGGGGCAGTCTCGTGGATAAGCGCGCCTCGGCGGGCAGCGCCACTCCAGTGGTCCCACACCGCTCCCCCGCGCTCTCTCCAGCCGGTCACTGACTTCAGTCACGGTTGGGGGGGGGGGCTTCCGCCACGACGCGGCGGGTCCTCCGACGGGAGGGAGAGCGCCTTCGCCAGTAGGCGCGATGCCAGCGCATCCCTCCTCATCTCTCCATCGGCACGACGCCCGCCTCGGCCCTCACGGCGAGTCTTGGAGCATGGAAATCGGGCAGCCAGTGATGACTCATGCCACCATCAGCATCTCCGCCTCCAGGACGCCAAGATGTGTGGCCGCAGCCGCAGGCAGCCACGCCGACCCCGCTGCCCGCATGCCCAAGTAGTCTCGAATCGCTGACACCTCTCCTGAAACAAGAGTGGTGTCGTAAACTTAAACCCCTTGCTGGAGCCCGCCAGCCGCGACAACACCGCCACACCAATTTTTGTGACCCCGGAACTTCCGTCCCGAGCCTTATTTCACGGCACGATGCTACAGTGCGCTACACGTATTGTGGTATTCAGCTTCCATGGAAACATCAACTAATTTGGACGCTCAAACATGGGAGTCAGGAGTGGTTAAGGCCCAGAGCGTTCTGTCTGGTTTATAAAACCTTGGCCAGCAGATGTAAACGTGCTTTTTGTATAAGTGGCTTAATTTTGACGCAAAAGGGCACTAACCTTCGGCGCAAATAATGCAGAAATTTCAGCGCAAATTGCAAAATAGCTTGCGCCGAACTTCGGCGCATGACGGCTTCACGGGCGTCCGGCGTACCATATGGATGTTTTCCAGTTTGGGCTGCAGGTTTTAGCTCTAGGTTTTAGACTGTAGGTTTTGGGTTGGGTTGGGCTGGGCTGGGCTGGGCTGGGCTGGGTTGGGCTGGGCTGGGCTGGTTGGGGTGGTTGGGTTGGGTTGGATTAGGTTAGGTAAGTTTAGGTTAGTTTAGTTTAGGATAGATATGAATACCTATTTTTTGTAAGTTGAATTATTTTTTTCATTTTGTAGCATCATATGCCTTCCATCTTTGAACTGCCATATTCAAGCACCAGAATAAGTATGGACTTGAACCTTTTCCAGTCTGGATGCCTGTATGGAAGTTGTGCAAAATCATGCAGTTGAAGGTATTGTAACCACAAATAAGAGCTCATGACTCAAGTCTCAACTTGTCCATAATTGGTTATCTTGATGTATACTTGTAGACCCTTCCTCTTACTTGGCACACAGGCATGGTGTCACAGTGTTCTAAAATTGGATTTCAATTGGGTGTCCCAATAAAAAAAATCTGAAGACAAAATGAGATAGATTTAGTCTTTCCGCAAAACTGCATAATGCCATTTTTACCTCAGATTTTGTCAGAACCTTCACAGGATCTGAAATGAAATGATGTAGAGTAGATGCATCAACTGTCAAGTCATGCGTAACCTGGCAGCTGGCTGTTGAATCAAACTTTTGACATATTTTTTTAGCAAAGATGAAATAAAGCCACTTGTCATATTTTTAGGATGAAAACATTTTCCCCATCATGTGTGGTTATTCACCTAAAATTCTGAAACATGGAACACTGTCATACCAGCATTCCATCATGTCAACCAGCATTCCGCAGCATGTTAGCAGAAGCAGCAGCATGTTATAAGTATATGAAAGATCCAAATAGGTTGTAGGTTGGTAGGTATTGGTACTAAGTTTAACTTAATAGGTTAGTAGGCAAGGAATTAGGATTAATTTTAGTTGAGCATCAAGATAACCATTACGAACAAGTAACAAAATCCTTACCTACCCTTGAAAGCATTGCTTCAATCACATCATCACGAAGAACCAGACAAAATTTTTGCACATTCTTACACTATTTGACATCCTGAATCCAGATATGATGCTTTCATGTGGCGCAAATACAAGAAAAACGAATAATCAAACCCGTGCGTATTCGTATCAACGGCGCCACAATTGTAGATCAGACCTTTTCTGAACAAATGCCACCACAATTTTAATTGATAAGGGATTAAAATGGCATGAGCATCAACATCTTGATTTTTTCTAAAAGATAGCGATAACTGATAACTAATAACTTACCATTCATTTTGAAATCACGGCGGTAGGTACACCAACACATGGCACTGAAAACAGCAAAAGACGGAATGGCGGAGCCCTAAAACGCAGCTCGAATTGAGCCCGAAAAGGAAGACGAACTGATGCCGCTTTCGGGGCTAATGTACTTTGAGCCCGAAAAGGGCGCCTAACTGATCCCGATTTTAAAATCATACAGATTTGAGCCCTGT